AGTCTGCCTTGGACCTCACTCTGGTATGTAGTGCGATGGCATGTGAGTGGGAGGTATGGGAGGAGTCGATAGTAGGGAGTGATCATTACCCTATAGTATGCACAGTAGGCCGGAGGGAGGAGGAGGTGACAGTGGATGGAGTAGGCAGGTGGGTGTTTGGAAGGGCAAAGTGGGATCAGTTTCAGGAGCTGAGTGAGCAGGTGATGGCTCGGGTGGATATGAGAGGGGATGTGGATAGTATGAATAACTGGGTGAGAACAGCGTTAGTGGGGGCAGCTACTGAGGCTGTACCTAAGAGTTCAGGGAGGAGGAGGAGGAAAGCAGTCCCATGGTGGACGGAGGAATGTGGAGCAATGGTGAGGAGTCGGAACAGGGCATTTAGAGTACTGAAAAGGATGCATAACTTCCAACATCTGATTCAGTATAAGCAGGCCCAGGCCATGGTGAGGAGAACTATCCGTCAGGCAAAGAGGTCATGTTGGCATCGGTTCTGTGACAGCATTGGAAGGGCGACACCTGTGGGAGAAGTGTGGGGGATGATTAAAAGGATGAGTGGGGTCAGAAGAGAGTGGGATTATCCAGTGTTGACGAGTGGGGAGGATGTGGCAGTAACAGATGAGGAGAAGGTAGAGATGATGGCCAAAGCATTTGTCCAAGTTCATAGCTCCGCCAATCTGTCAGAGGAGGGGCAGAGGGGGAGAGAGAGCACGAGAGAGGGGCATCCTGGAGTGCTGGATAGGAAGGAGGATGTAAATGATGTGTTGAATGCACCATTTACCATGGCAGAGGTGAAAAGAGCAATAGGTAAGGCTGGGTTAACTTCACCTGGGAAAGATGAGGTGTTATGTTGGCCCATCTTAGTGATGAGGCACTGGATAAGGTATTGGTGTTGTACTCTGGATAAGAGCGTCTGCTAAATGACTAAAATGTAAATGTAAATGTACAACAGAGTGTGGGAGGAGGGGAAACTACCAGGCAGTTGGAAGGAGGCAGTAGTTGTACCAATCCGGAAGCCCGGGAAGGATCCAACGAGGCCAACAAGCTATCGGCCAATAGCTTTAACATCACATGTATGTAAGATTATGGAACTTATGATGACGGAGAGGCTAACTTACTTCCTGGGGAGCAGAGGGCTAGTATCGCCACATCAGAGTGGGTTCAGGAAGGGTAGGGGAACTATGGATCCAGTGCTCTGCTTAGAAGCAGAGGTCAGGAAGGCTCAGGAGAACAAGGAGACTGTTGTAGCTGTCTTTTTTTTGATGTGGAGAAGGCGTATGATATGATGTGGAAGGAGGGGTTGTTAATCAAGCTTGATATTATGGGGGTAGGAGGAAGAACGTACAACTGGATAAAGGATTTCCTGTTTGGAAGGTCTATCCAGGTGAGGGTGGGGAAGTCTTTATCAGGCAGCTACCTGGTGGATAATGGTACACCACAGGGGAGCGTGATTAGTCCTCTGTTGTTCTCAATCTTGATCAATGATGTTTACTCTCAGGTACAGACGGATATAGGGAGGTCATTATTTGCAGATGATGGGGCCTTATGGAAGAGGGGAAGAAATGTGCCATACATAGTCAGGAAGGTACAGGAAGCAATTGATGAGGTAGAGTGGTGGGCATTAATGTGGGAATTCAGGTTCTCTGTAGAGAAAACTCAAACAGTGTTCTTTACCAGGAGGAAGGTGGGAGGTGAGGTATGCTTGAGGTTATATGGGAGAAACTTGGAGAGGGTGGGGTCCTTCAGGTTCCTTGTGGTATACTTTGACACTAGGCTGACCTGGGCAGAACACATTGAGAGAGTGGTGGGAAAGTGTAAGAAGGTGCTAAATGTGATGCGCTGTCTGACGAGGAAGGAGTGGGGGGCTGGGCGTTCCTCATTGAAGACCATGTATGTTGCATTGATCCGATCTGTAATAGACTATGGCAGTATAGCATATGGTTCGGCAGCCCGGACCTCACTGGAAAGGTTAGATATCATACAGGGGCAGGGACTCAGAATATGTAGTGGGGCGTTTCGGACGTCCCCAGTGGCTGCATTACAGGTGGAGATGGGGGATATGCCATTGCAGATTAGGAGACAGCAGCTGGCAATGAATTATTGGGTCAACCTACAAGGACAAGGGGTTTCTCATCCTGCGAAAGGGATCGTACAGGCATGCTGGGAACATGAGCGAAGACAGAACACAAGCTTTGGGTGGGTGGGTAATACCCAGGCTTAGGAGATGGAACTGTATGGAAGGGAGTTTAGTCCAATGGTAGTTATTCCTGTAAATCCACCATGGCTACTCCCACCTCCAGTCGTTGATCTAGAAGTGTTGGAGAGACTACAGAAAGATAGGGAGGCTGTTGATCCATCTGATTTGTTTAAGAGACGTCTGGATAGTGTTTATCAGGATTTTGTGGCCATTTACACAGATGGTTCAAAAGATCCAAGGACAGGATGTACTGGGTCAGCATTTGTAGTGCAGGAATGTGGGGTGGAAGTCAGGAAACGTATTACATATCATCTCGCTGTATGTACGGCGGAGCTGATGGCCATACTGTTGGCCTTGCAGTGGGTGGAGGAAGTCAAACAATCAGAGTAGTTATTTGCTCTGATTGATGTTGAAGTTTCAATGAGCAAGGCAGAGGCAAAAAGACTGATATATACAGTGATGGTGCAGAGATGGCAGGAGCAGTGGAATAGAGATAATAAGGGAAGGCATTTATTTCAAGTACAGAGGAAAGTCGGGGAGGACAGCAGGAAGGGACAGAAGAGAGGAGGATATTTTTTACAAGATTAAGGGTGGGACACAGCCAGTTGAATAAGACATGAAATGTGATAGGAAAGCATCCAACAGGAAAGTGTGATTATTGTCAGGAAACAGAGACTGTGGAGCGTGTATTGCTACAGTGTGCAGTATCAGAGGGAAAGAATGAGGATGAGATCTAGTATGAGGGAGAAGGGGATACAGGAAATTAGTTTAAAGAGTATATTGAGTAGAACGTTATTAGATAGAGTCTCAAATATGTTATCTTTTTTTAAGAGCAACGGGGCTGGCAGGTAGGATTTAGTTTCTCCCTGTCTCTGGCCCACACTCCAGTACAGTAGGTGGCGGTAATGCACCATAACGTTGAATGCCAACAGCTGATAAACCCCACTGAAGAAGAAGAATACGTGACCCGGATGTACCTAGTTATTCTTGCCTGATTTAGAGCGGTGTTAGAACCACAGTAGAGGAAAGAACGCATTTCTAGCTAATTGAAATACACGTATCTGCTATTGTTTCAGGTATGACAATATTCCAGTATTTGAAGATATACTTTTTTGTCAAAAGAGTCAGGTTTTGCCCCGTAACTGACAAAGTACAGCGGTCTTGACAATTTACCTGGCTAATGTAATGCAGTCCAGCTGCTAGCCTAACGTTTCCTAGCTAGCCAGCTAAAGATGACGCCTACGACTGCTAGCTAGCTAGCTACTTGAGCGGAACCGGTGATTCACTGACAGCTAGCTACAGTAGCTACATTATCAGCTTGCTTATTGAGTTGTTTCTGCAATTGATTCTAGGTATTGAAAGATAAGTAGCTAGCTCCTTCAAATAACACATCACATTACCTAACACCTTTCTTCGTTTGTTGTGATATAGCTTCATCAAGTAATCTCTTGCCAGCTCGTTAATTAGCTAGCCAGCAATGTAACTAGCTATGTGACTAACTAGCACGTTTGACAGGTGTCAAGGTTAGTTTACCAACATTTGACGTTGACATACCCTTTCCTACGTAAGATGATGAGAATAGTAATGTCTACTAACATTATGCAAAATGAAAGTGGAAGATGTCCATCTGTTGACAGTCTGTCTATGCTGCCTTATTTCAGTCAAACAGTAAACATCCTCATTCATTCAGGACTCTACTGTGAAATGTTTTACAAGGAGCACACGTGAGCCTAATTTGAAAAATGTAGGAGCACAATGAAAAAGTTGAGGTATTAAAGGGCCAATCCGTAGTAGAAACAATAACAAATAATAATCCCCGCCACTGTTTCTGTCAGAGGTTGAGGGATGGTGCTGGAGAAATGTAACCACACTCAAATTCATAGACAGAACTATGGATGCAAGGACTGACCATCCATGATATACACAGTATACTTTTAACCATGTGTTGAGGCTATATGGTGTTTCCTTACTTAGTTTACAAACAATAGAAAAACAACCTTATATTTTTGGCTTCTGATGTGGTATGACAGTTGAACTAAGCGCATGGGGCATTTATGTTATACTTTTCAAGAATCAATGGGTTTATATCATTAATTTATAATTCAAAAAAATGTAGTAACTGCAGATTGCCCCTTTAGTTATACGAATTGCCAGCAAATACAGGGTTTAGGAGCACCAGAAAAATAGATTTTTAGGATTGAGATATAGCCTATATGATTCCTAGCTGCTTTTGAAGCGCTCCCCTTTCCCTTTCGTTCTGTGCCACCACATGTTTGCATGCTACTGGGACAGCGAAGAAATCATTACAACAATTATAACCTGGGTGATTTATTTTTCTAGGGCACTGGTGCTACCAAATTACAATTTCAGGTAGCACAGCAAAATATTTAGGATCATATGCCTCCAAAATGGTAGCCCTGTAGAGCCCTGTCAATAAGCTAATCAGTCAGTCTGTGGTTCACAGTTATTAAATCATTTAACATTGGGTTTCTGTTATTCCTCAGGCCTGAATGAAAATCCATACTGTCTGGGTTTAGCCTAGGGGTACCAGTCTGTTTGAGTTATCATTCCACTTCTTGGCACGGAGTAGCATATAAGGAGTGGATAGTTAGTAAAACAGATTCTGGATTTTAGAATCTGGGTTCCCCTGCATCCCCTGATTGCCCTCACAGACTGGCACACGTTTAACACTTGAAACAACTTCTGTAGAATTGTTTGAACTCACCTAGTCCAGTGCTCTACCACAGTGTACCTCTCTGTCCAGGCTGGTGCCAGCACCTGTTGATGGAGTCTATGCTCCAGTGAGATGACTGACCAGGGCAACAACAACCAAAACATCTCCCGCAACCCCTTCGCTGCCCTTTTCAGCTCCCTCGCCGACGCCAAGCAGTTTGCGTCGGGCCAGAAACCACCTTCGCGCCATGGCGAACCACCCTGTGAGTTAACCCTCCAGAGGAGGAGTTACAGAGCGTGCATGCTTTTGCTCCAGCCCAGCTCTAACACACGACCTGACTAATCGGCTGCATGACAGGACCTTGATTAGCTCAATCGGTGGTGTTTTAGTGCTGGGTTGGAATAAAGCCCAACAGTTGGGCCACTCCAGCTATAATAGTTAATTGTGTTACTCATTTTGGTCTGTCTGTCTAACTTAAACATTACTAATATGATGTAGCACGCTCACTGGCTTGACGCTCGACAATGACCTCATACGGTTTGATATATCTGCTGGCTTATGTCATGTGTTGCAGCGGAGGACTCGGATGGGAGTCAGTCAGAGTCAGAGAACTCGGACAGCATCGAGGACAATGACGACTCGGTGGCCGAAATCAGCCGCTCCTTCCTGTCGCGGCAGGAACTGTGTGAACAGCTCAACATCAACCACATGATCCAGAGGATCTTCCTCATCACCTTGGACAACAGTGAGTGCAGGAAGTTAGATAGGAGCGTATTAAGGTTTTTACACTTTTTTCTATTGGAGTAGCGTCATGATGCCGCTTGTCCCTTCTTCTAATTTTCAGAATCTTGTTGTCATGTAAACAACCCTTACTGTTGCCTGGCTGGGTCTATCTGATGTTGCGTAGTGATATGAACTAAAGCAAATCAGTTTGTTTCCCAGGCAACCATTTATGTGCCCATACACAAGCAACGGCTCAATTCATCACCCGTCAACCTCCCCCTGTTTTAATGACAAAGCCCCCATTCTGACTGTCTCATTTATTCCCCTGTGCTTTATGTTGATTAATCTGAGGTGCTGGATTGAGGCATGGTCAATGTGTGATCACAGCTTTCTTAAACTCCTTCGTAAACTCAAAGGAATTCAGTACATTCATCCTTCCTGGCAGTCTTTTCTTCATGACATCACTCTGTGTCTGTACTAGATTAGATGGAGAGCGATCAGCGTGGCATCAGCCAACTGACTGAGTCAGAGGCTGTGTCATCAAGGGGGTCTACAGGTCCCAGATGACTGTCTTCCTCCATTAGTGTCTTATTTTCCCGCTCATCATCCCTCACTGACTGGCATGAAAGTGCCCTGATGATGGAGCCCCTTTCTGTCCATTTCTAGTCTAAATCTAATCTAATCTGCTCGGCCTCTTTTAGTATTCCATTTCAGGGCCATCCAGTAAACAGTAAATTACTCACCCCAGCTCAATACTCATAAACTGGATACTGGAATGAGTCATGATTGACTGTGTCTGCTGTAAGTGAAAAGTAAAATGGTCTGAGTGTTTGGAGTCTGCTGTTCAACAACTGTTGTTTGACCTCAGGTGACCCCAGTCTGAGAGGATGCAATGGGATTCCTCCACGCTGCGTGTTCCTGGAGGAAATGGCCGCAGAGATGGACGGGCAAGACTGGCTAGACATGGACAACATCGAGCAGGTACAATAGGATTGGACAGTGGGAATGGTGGTGGCGAACTGTTCGCTGGTCAGCTCAGTTGACCTCTATGCCATAAGATCCACATATACAGTGCTGTATCCTTTTCTCATGACGATTTCCTCGCTGGCTTGTATTTTCAGGGGACTAGGCCTATTATGTATACAGTGCATCGTCTACTCTAAGAAGATGGTATAGTGAAAAATACATAGCAACCTTATGCTCAACAGGGAGCAGAGATCAGTAAGTAAGGACATAAAGTTGATAGCACAGAATGTTGGCTAAGTTTGACATTTTTTCTCCTATATTAGGCACTCTTCAACAGATTACTGATGCTGGAGCCAGGGAACCACCTCATCTACATGACCTCGTGTAATGCTGTGAATCTCTCTGCCGACCGAGATGCTGGGGACAAGTGCGCCATACCGTTCCTCTACGCCTGCTACCAGAGAGCCAAGGAAGAGGTGGGGTCACATACACAGCTCACTCTCATTCCTAATTTCTTTCTCCACCAATTGCCAGTCATAATTCAGTCAGGAAAAGTTTGCTGTAAAAGGCATACAGAGTGTACTAAACATTACAGACTTGCCAAGTGAATCCAGGTGAAAGCTATGATCCCTTATTGATGTCACTTGTTAAATCCACTTCAATCAGTGTAGATGAAGGGAAGGAGACAGGTTAAATAAGGATCTTTAAGCCTTGAGACAATTGAGACATGGATTGTGTATGTGTGCTATTCAGAGGGTGAATGGGCAAGACAAAAGATTTAAGTGCCTTTGAACGGGGTATGGTAGTAGGTGCCAGGCGCACCGGTTTTCTACGCTCAACAGTTTCCTGTGTGTATCAAGAATGGTCCACCACCCAAAGGACATCCAGCCAACTTGACACAACTGTTGGAAGCATTGGCGTCAACATGGGCCAGCATCCCTGTAGAACGCTTTTATATTTAGGTGTTCATAATGTTTTGTCCACTCTGTGTCTAAACCATGCTGTATATATCAGCGCCTGCACAGTTCGGTTTGGGTCACCACAATAGTGTGAAAAGGTTCATAGTCTTACTGAACATAATGAATGACCTGTCTAAGGTTAAATCTGCTGTTTATTTATAGATCATTTCAGTCTGCATATAGGCAAAAGAAAGCATGTTTAGCTTGTGCTCCATTGCTGACAATGACGTGACAAATTCCTCCCTGGTCCCTCCCTACATTACAAACCCCCAGGTCACCAAAGTACCGGAGAAGCTGCTGTCGTACGCAGTGCGCTGTAAGAATCTGACGGTGTCCAACACGTGCACGGTCCTGCTCACCCCCGAGATCTACATCAGCCAGAACGTGTACGAGCAGCTACTGGATCTGCTGCTGGAGGGAGTCGGCGGAGCCCGTGAGTCCATTCAATTATTAAAGCTTTGACTGTCTGAGGATCCCTGTTCTGTTCCATCTCAGTAGCCAAAGAAAGTGGTGTTGTCTGCTGCTCAGGTATCAACTGTTGAGGCCTCCCAAGACAGGATGTGCTGTAATTTAAGATAGTTTGCCCCCGCTGATTAAATAACTGGTTTTTACTGGTTTGAACTTGTCGATCTGCATTTGAGAGTATAATATCCTCACTTCGCTGTGTTGTTGTGTGTGGTTTGTGTCCGGAAAGGGGGGGAAAGAGGCCTGTACAATACAGAGAATATACTTTACTGAACTGTATTTATTTTTTATATTTTCTGTATAGACTACATTGTTTTTTACCCTGATATATACCTAAGCCCTTTTTTGAGCCATGAAAAACCCTGTACATATATGGTTCTGTAAAGTACAGTATCTTCTCTGCATTATACAGGGCTATTATTCAGGGTTTTTACTTATCTATACCTAAGCCCCTTTTTGAGCCAAGAAAAACCCTGACATAAAGTGTGGTTTCTGTTGTGCGTTGCAGAGCTGGAGGAGGTGGTGGAGTTCGTGGAGGAGGTGATCGCTGGCCTGTTGGCTGACCAGGAGGTGCGCACCTTCAGCGAGGTGATCGTGCCCGTGCTCGATATCTTCCAAGGCCGTGTAAAAGACTTGGATCTCTGCCAGCTGCTGCTCTTCTCCTACCTGGACCTTCTCCTCTACTTCAGCCGGCAAAAAGATATCGCTACGGTCAGGGGCCAAAATGCATCGTCATCACTCCTCTGGACTATTTTGTATAACCGTGATTATTACTTGATTATATTCTATTCTGTTCTATATTATTCTATTTAGAACAATATTATTATTCTTTTAACAACTGCATTCATATGTCTGAGATGGACAACCTTGATCTCAAAAGTAGTTTACTCTCTTAATATACTTCAAATTGTTTTACTCCAGGTATTGGTGGAGCACATCCATCCCAAAGATCCCAACAATGGGCTTCAGTATCAGAACACCCTCCTTGGCACTGTGTTGAGTATCTCTTGCCTGCTGAAGACGCCGGGGGTGGTGGAGGGTCACGGCTTCTTCCTCAACCCATCACGCTCCAGTCCACAGGAAATGAAGGTCCAGGAGTCCAACATACACCAGGTAAGGGCACAAGAAATAGAGGCTTTGGTCAAAAGTAGTGCATTATATAGGGAATAGGGTGCTATTTAGGACGGACCCCTAACCTTATCTTCTGTGTCTCCAAAACCCCACTTAGGCCTACATCCAGCTTACTGCCAAGGGACAGACATATTCTAAGGGTCAGACACAAGCTTAGTCTAAGCTTATGTCTGAGTCACTTTCACTCAGATATCATATGAACACAGCATAAGTCCTGGCAAAATGTGTAGAATTGCAGGAAATTCGCTTTAAATATATATATACAGTTGAAGTCGGAAGTTTACATACACTTAGGTTGGAGTCATTAAAACTCATTTTTCAACCACTCCACAAAGAAACAAGATTCTCTGGTCTGATGAAACCAAGATTGAACTCTTTGGCCTGAATGCCAAGCGTCACGTCTGGAGGAAACCTGGCACCATCCCTATGGTGAAGCATGGTGGTGGCAGCATCATGCTGTGGGGATGTTTTTTAGCGGCAGGGACTGGGAGACTAGTCAGGATCGAGGCAAAGATGAACGGAGCAAAGTACAGAGAGATCCTTGATGAAAACCTGCACCAGAGCGACCTCAGACTGGGGTGAAGGTTCACCTTCCAACAGGACATCGACCCTAAGCACACAGCCAAGACAATGGAGGAGTGGCTTCGGGACAAGTCTCTGAATGTCCTTGAGTGGCCCGCCCAGACTTGAACCCGATCAAACATCTCTGGAGCGACCTGAAAATAGCTGTGCAGCAACGCTCCCCATCTAACCTGACAGAGCTTGAGAGGATCTGCAGAGAAGAATGGTAAAAACTCCCCAAATACAGGTGTGCTAAGCTTGTAGCGTCATACCCAAGAAGACTCAATGCTGTAATCGCTGCCAAAGGTGCTTCAACAAAGTACTGAGTAAAAAACGACCAATTTCACTGGAGCGTAGAGCGAGATTCCCAAAGGCTGGTGCGTTAGCCTTTTCGCCTGCTCCAATTTCGCTCCAGTAGCGCTCACTTCACCAGCTCAGGGCATGCCCGGCCCAGCATGCATTTGTAGTCTACTTGTGTGCTGCTATAGTCCCTTGCTTTAGCTACTGTCATGGAGTTATGCTAAATATTTTCATAAAGAAACTGATAAAACAAACAGGTGCAAAATCAAGGTGACTTACAAAGATGAGGACCGAGAGGTAGTGCGGTGATGTAGCGTCCACAACTAAAGAATCATTGTGGAATCTGAAAAGACACGTATCCCGAAAGCATGATGGTGTACTTACTATGTGCACATGCTAAAATAAAGGAATGAGGTGGGTAGATAACTATGTGTGTCATTGTAGCAAAGTATTTATAAACAAAAAATCTGATTGAACGTTCACTTTTGTTCTATTATCTATCTATATAATTTATTATCTATATCCATAATTGATTTGGGCCAAATAGGCCTGCCATATTCCCACTTTCAAGGAGCTTTCCATTTTGATTGGTTATTTTGCCTAAAAACCTTTAAGCCTACCTATAGAAAAAATTAAAAATAAACTGCATCTCTGCCCAGCCTGGAAAGAGTGGACAAAAGGGTGTTTAGCATCCCCAGTGGCTCTACAAGTGTGGAGAGGATATTCTCTGCTGCTGGCCTGCTCTCCAGGCACCATCACATGAGCCTTAAGCCACAGACTGGCCAAACCCGTGTTTATAGAAATGAATTCAAAGGCACTGTAGACTGAGCCTAATAAGGAATTTTTCATTTAATTTGTATTTAATACTAAGTCAGAGCCTATATGCGCAATTTATAGACTATAATGATTTAATGCAACAAAATGTTGTTTAAATGCTGAGCGCCTAATGCCCCTACCAGCCTATGGTGTCGCACTCGCAAATGCTTCACAATGTATTTCTTTGTAGGCTATAGCCTTGAAATAATTGAAATAATATTTAGTGTGTATATGCTGTTTAATATGACATGTAGCCTATTTGAAATGGTGAGCGCTTCTAAAATACTTTTCATTCAAATCATCTGGTTTGGTTTCAATACTTTAAAACCAAATGATAGGTCCAGGTAGTCACAAAATTAGGTGGGTGTTGGTTAATTGTGATTTTAATGAATGGAGCGAATTTGGAGCAGCAGTTCTTTTTCCTGTGAGCGCGGAGCGGTTTTTAGCGGAGCGTTTGAAAAGGACGTGGAGTGCCGGAGCCGCTCCATGAGCAATGAGCGGGAATTCCGACCACTCAACTCCGCTCCCATACTCTGCTCCCATCTAGTTATTGACATATCCTTTCCTGCTCTCCTTTCCTCCCAGTTCATGGGCCAGTTCCATGACAAGCTGCACCAGCTCCTGAAGAACCTGCTGCAGCAGTCGGGTGAGACACGCCACCTGCTGCTCTCCTGGCTAGGCAGCTGCCTGCAGGCCAACGCCGGGCGCGCCAAGATCTGGGCCAACCAGATGCCCGAGATCTTCTTCCAGATGTACGCCTCAGATGCCTTCTTTCTCAACCTGGGCGCCGCACTGCTCAAGCTGTGCCAGCCCTTCTGCCGGCCGCGCTCCCCCAAGCTGCTCACCTTCAACCCCACCTACTGCGCGCTCAAGGAGCTCAGCGAGGAGGAGCGGCGCAACCGCAACGTGCACGCCAGAGGTGTGTCTGGGTCATTGGATATCCTTTTTACATCATTAGTTCTCTTTTTTATGTTCGTAAATATGAATCTTTCCTAATTTTCTCATTGATCATTAGGTCTGGACAAAGAGACGTGTCTCGTCCCCCTTCCCCCCCAGCAGTCGGTGCAGTACTCACAGTCATATAGCCTCCTCACTGAGAACCTCATCCTCACCCAGATGACCCTGCACCTGGGCTTCCACAGGTAACTAACTGGCCCTGTTCAGAAGGGTTCAACGTTACAGAACATTCAGATATAATACAAATTATAGGATAGATATGATTGTCTTTCAAGTAGAATAGGGAATCATGTCAGGTCTATTCAATGCATTTCTATCGGCAAATTTGTGAACATATCTCCTCACTGAATATACCCCTGACCTAGCAATGCTGTATCCATATGATGAGCATTAGTACTGTATATCATCACAGGGTTTTGGGTTTGTGCATGAAGAAAGTTCTACTTGCCATGTTAGTACACAATACTTTTGGTTCCTCGACACACACAGAAAACTCTCAGTGGAGGTTCTCCATTGAGCATGGGTTTAAGTCCAGGAGTTGGCTCGATATGTACCCGGGAACCTGGCCCTTGGAGTAGACTTGTGATAATATCTCATAGTGTTATCCTTCATAACAGCTGAGCCATATGTACTGTATCTGATGTTGTGAACTGGGCCGTGACAAATTTCCGTTGTTCGCTGTAACATTTGGTTAATAAAGTTGTATTGTGTCTTCTCCTTGCCTCTCCCTAGACTCCACGAGCAGATGGTGAAGATGAACCAGTCTCTCCACCGGCTGCAGGGTACGTGGCGGGAGGCCCAGCTCACGGGCGGCCCGGCGGCCGAGCAGCTCCGCGAGCAGTTCGAGCGCCTCATGACGGTCTACCTGTCAACCAAAGCAGCAGCCACCCAGCCGGGCATGCTGCAGTGCTGCCTCAACCTGCAGGCGTCCAGCGCCACACTCCTGGTTCAACTGGGCCTCAGCAACCAGGGGCCCGAGCACATCCAGCTCTCCTTCCCCCTGCCGCCGCTATACAACAGCCTGCTCTGTCACATGCCAGGTAGCTGCCCCTCCCTCCCTCTGTCAGTTTACTTCTCTTTTTTTGTTTAGCTGAGTGACTTACAGTCAAGGCATTTAACTAAGGTAGGAACGACAACCAAGTATCACAGTCATTTCAGGTAAAACTTTCCGTCAACCTTGCTTGTTTACTTACTTAGTTAGACCAGTCGCCCCATGAGGAGCAAAGGCCGTCAACAACTCAACTTTTGGCAGTCTTTTCAATATTGCGCCATCGACCTTGACGTCACGTTTTCAGTCATTTGACAGATGCTCTTATGCTGACTTGCAGTCAGTGCGTACAATAGAGGTGCCATAGAAACAAACGGAACATGGCTTTGTGGCCGTGGTTGCACCTTTACAATGCAGAAAACCGCTCGTCTCTAGCTCAAACCGTTCAAAACTAAAGACCTATTTTAACGGAGCTATTTTATTTATTTATTTCCTGCATGGATTGCGGGACGCTCTTAAAGGGGTACACACAAATTAATCATCATGAGTAAGGAACTTTTATTATGCAAGCTATGAAAATAGTTCAAATAAACCCTATTTAATCTAAAAAAAAAATAACGTTTGTCACAGAAAAGCGTTGATTTGCAGTAAGTATCAGATTTAGATGGTCATTACCACTAAATTAATTAATAGGGATATTTTAGGTGTGCCGCAGAATTTTTTATCCCATCAAGTTGTTCCAAGGTTCATAAAAGGTTGGGAACCACTGTGCTAAATAACAGCAAGTCCCAATGACAGTGTCCCAATGACAGTGCTATATAAGAGTTGTGAGAGAATAACACATATGAAGAGAGCAGAGGAGGCTGGTGAGAGTAGCTATAGGAGGACAGGCTCATTGTAATGGCTGGAATGGAATGAATGGAAACACCTAACATATCAAACACATGGAAACAACGTGTTTGACTCCATTCCATTGATTCCATTCCAGCCATTTAAAATGAGCCTATAGCCCCTCCCACCATCCTCCTCTGGTAGAGAGTGTATTAATACGATGACTACTAGGAGGGGTTGGTTATCAAAAGGATTCTTGTACGTCTGCAGAGTTCTTTGCAGAGAACTTGGGAGATTTCTTTGTCTTCCTCCGCCGCTTCGCTGACGAGGTCCTGGAGTCTTCTGCCGAGAGTTTGGAGCAGGTCCTCAACTTCATCACTGTGTTCATGGGAAACGTGGAGAGGTAGGGGAGAGAGGGAGAGGCGTTGAGTTCACCCACGCACACACACACAGTACCAGGCCACATGTTTACACCTCTGTGCATAATATCCATGTGTCCTGGTACATACAATGCCTTGAGGACTGTTTATCCCCATTGGCTGTTACAACAGTCACTCTTCTGGATGTGATATTCCTAAGGGGTTTATGTGTCTACCATTTGGAGTCATCTATGTTCCTATTGTGTTACTCTTTACCCATGTACCCAGGATGAAGAACCCTCACTTGCGGGCGAAGCTGGCAGAGGTGCTGGAGGCGGTGATGCCCCACATGGAACCGGTGTCGGCCGGCACGACTCAGCCAGTCATGTTCCAGCGCCAAAGGGTCTTCTGCTCCTACCGCCACGCCCCTCACCTGGCCGAGGCGCTCATCGCTGTGTTTGTGGATATTGAGTTCACTGGTGGGTTTAGTGTGTATGTGTATGTGTGTGTGTGCGCAGTGTATGTGTGTGTGTGTTTGTGTCTTGCACATATGTGTTTGTGTGTGCTAGAATCTAAACCTTTGTGATGAAGCTCAAGTGCAAGCATGATGTGACTTGTATGTTATTGACTTTTCTCCTCAGGTGACCCTCACCAGTTTGAACAGAAGTTCAACTACAGGAGACCTATGTATCCCATCCTCAAGTACATGTGGGGGAAGGAGAGCTACAGGGAGAGCATTAAGGCAAGCTTGTCTCCCCGTTTGTCTTAGTTATTTAGATGGTACCACATGTAGAGTCGTCCTTATTGAAGACAGCAGGAAACACACGGTATTACTCTTCAGTTCTGCACCATTATGTACCAAAATGCTTATGTGGAATGTTGTTTACTTCAGAGTCTTGCTGTTTATGCATCCGAGAACCTCGAGGCAATGAATCCTCCACTCTTCCTGCGGTATCTGAATCTCCTGATGAACGACGCCATCTTCCTGCTCGACGAAGCTATACAGGTGAGAAACTGTCAGCATTTAGCGCTCGTTTTATGAAAAGGACATTCCTAGCATTGACTTATATTGACTTATATCCATCTCAGTGGTGGCTGGTGCCACTTTAAATCAGAGGACGGGCTCATTTTAATGGCTGGAATGGAATCAACAAACGGTATTAAAACACATGGTTTCTATGCGTTTGATACCATTCCATTCATTCCATTCCGACCATTACTATGAGTCGTCCTCAGCTCACCAGCCTCTACTGATCCATAAAAGACAAATCTGCTCCAATTGGTTTTAATTTTGGAAATCTGTTCCAAAGTATTCCCATGCATAATAGAGAGATATACTTGTAAGCAAGGTTTGAAATACTTATGTTTTAGTCAAATATTATATCTGTTTGGGCTTCTTGCAGTCAATTTGCCATGTACAATTTGCCATCCGCTCAAGAAGAAATTGGCCCGCGGCTGAATCTAGTTGATGTTCTCTGGTTTACATGAAGCTCCTACATTTCAACTGTGTCAGATTTTGCCACTACTTCTCTCTGAACTGGTCCTTGTCGTGGTAGTACCTGAGCAAGATCAAGCTTCTGCAGCTGGAGAAGGACCATGGCGAGTGGGAGGGCCTGGCTCCTGATGCCCTCAGGGAGAAGGAGTCCAGTCTGCAGATGTTGGGACAGCTGGCACGCTTCCATAATATAATGTCCAACGAGACCATCGGCACACTGGCTTTCCTCACGTCAGGTTAGTTGGAGAGGGAGGATGAATGGATAACAATGATTGGACATACGTCTCTACCTAGAGCTACACAAAATATGGGTGTTGGTGTATTTTTTTGTTGTCCTATTCATTGTTAGTGAAACCATAAGCAGAATTAAGAGATTGCCCTGTTAAAGGTAAATGGCAATAATTTATATTTGAAGGCACTGTGTTGTACACTGAGGATACAAAACATTAGGAACACCTTTCTCATATTGTGTTGCACCACCTTTTGCCCTCAGACCAGCCTCAATTCGTTGGGGCATAACCTCTACAAGGTGGCCCATGTTGACTCCAATGCTTCCTGCAGTTGTGTCAAGTTGGCTGGATGTCCTTTGGGTGGTGGACCATTCTTGATACACACAGGAAACTGTTGAGCGTGAAAAACCCAGCAGCGTTGCAGTTCTTGACACACTCAAACCGGTGCGCCTGGCACCTACTACCATACCCTGTTCAAAGCCAGTTAAATATTTTGTCTTGCCCATTCACCCTTTGAATGGCACACATACACAATCCATGTCTCAATTGTCTCAAGGCTTAAAAATCTTTCTTTAACCTGTCTCCTCCCCTTCATCTACACTGATTTGAAGTGGATTAAACAAGTGACATCAATAAGGGATCATAGCTTTCACCTGGATTCACCTGGTCAGTCTGTCATGGAAAGAGCAGGTGTGCCTAATGTTTTGTACACTCAGTGTATATTAATATATTGAAACTCATACTCGCTTCTCCCTCGTCATGATATCCCAGAGATCAAGGGTATTTTTGTGCACCCTTTCATGGCCGAGAGGATCATCTCCATGCTCAACCACTTCCTGCAGCACCTGGTCGGCCCCAAGATGGGCGCCCTGAAGGTGAAAGACTTCAGCGAGTTTGACTTCAAGCCCCAACAACTGGTCTCCGATATCTGCAACATCTACCTTAACCTGGGGTACGTTTCAAAATGGCAATATTTCAAGGCTAAGACAAGGCTCAGAAGTTTGTTAGGTTGAAATTCGCTTGCTTTTTCAATCTGTACTTCAGACCTGTATTCTGATTGTATTTGAAATCGTTCAAAAATGTTGAGCGTTTGCCTGGAGCGAAAGGTGGGTGGTGTTTGCATGTTTTGGATGGTTCCATTGGTTTTATTGTGCCAGGCAAGCACAGTCAAGCATAGCTACATTAGTTGAACATTTTTTTAAAGTACCATTTGAATCCATGTGTGGCTTATATAGTGCATTTGGAAAGTGTTCAGACCCATAGACTTTTTCCACTTTTTGTTACGTTACAGCCTTATTCTAAAATTGATTAAATTGTTTTTTTTCCTCGTCAATCTACACACAATACCCCATAATGACAAAGCAAAAATAGGTTTTATTTTTTTTGTGCTAATTTATTAAAAATTAAAAACGTAAATATCACATTTACATAAGTATTCAAACCCCTTACTCAGTACTTTGTTGAAGCACATTTTTGCAGCGATTACAGCCTTGAGTCTTCTTGGGTATGACGCTACAAGCTTGGCACACCTGTATTTGGGAGGTTTCTACCATTCTTCTCTGCAGATCCTCTCAAGTTCTGTCAGGTTGGAAGGGGAGCGTCGCTACACAGCTATTTTCAGGTCTCTCATTTACATTTACGTCATTTAGCAGACGCTCTTATCCAGAGCGACTTACAGTTAGTGAGTGCATACATTTTCATACTGTTCGATCGGATTCAAGTCCAGGCTTTGGCTAGGCCACTCAAGAACATTCAGAGACTTGTCCCAAGCCACTCCTCCATTGTCTTGGCTGTGTGCTTAGGGTCGTTGTCCTGTTTGAAGGTGAACCTTCGCCCCAGTCTGAGGTCCTGAGCGCTCTGGAGCAGCTTTTCATCAAGGATCTTTCTGTACTTTGCTCCCTTCATCTTTCCCTCGATCCTGACTAGTCTCCCAGTCCCTGCCGCTGAAAAACATCCCCACAGCATGATGCTGCCACCACCATGCTTCACCGTAGGGATGGTGCCAGGTTTCACCCAGACGTGACGCTTGGCATTCAGGCCAAAGAGTTCAATCTTGGTTTCATCAGACCAGATAATCTTGTTTCTCATGGTTTGAGAGTCCTTTAGGTACCTTTTGGCAAACTCCAAGCAGGCTGTCATGTGCCTTTTACTGAGGAGTGGCTTCCTTTGGCAACTCTACCATAATGGCCTGATTGTTGGGGTGCTGCAGAGATGGTTATCTTTCTGGAAGGTTCTCTCATCTCCACAGAGGAACTCTAGAGCTCTCTGAGTAACCATTGGGTTCCTTCCTGACCAAGGCCCTTCTCCCCCAATTGCTCAGTTTGGCCGGGCGGCCAGCTCTAGGAAGAGTCTTGGTGGTTCCAAACTTCTTCCATTTAAGAATGATGGAGGCCATTGTGTTCTTGGGGACCTACAATGCTGCAGACATTTTTTGGTACCCTTCCCCAGATCTGTGCCTCGACACAATCCTGTCTCGGAGCTCTACGGACAATTCCTTCGACCTAATGGCTTGGTTTTTGCTCTGACATGCACTGTCAACTGTGGGACCTTATATAGACAGGTGTGTGCCTTTCCAAATCATGTCATATCAATTGCATTTACCACAGGTGGACTCCAATCAAGTTGTAGGAGCATCTCAAGGATGATCAATGGAAACAGGATGCACCTGAGCTCAATTTTGAGTCTCATAGCAAAGGGTCTGAATACTTATGTAAATACGGTATTTCTGCTTTATTTGTAATACATTTGCAGAAAATTCTGAAAACCTGTTTTAGCTTTTTCATTATGGGGTATTGTGTGATGGATGAGGATATTTTTTATTTTTTAATCAATTTTAGAATACGGCTGTAACGAAAAAGTCAAGGGGTCTGGAATACTTTCCGAATACACTGTAAGGTGGCTATTTTGTTTTTAGCGATTGTAACAATGTCTGTTTTCTCTTCGACAGTGATGAAGAGAATTTCTGTGCCACTGTCCCAAAAGACGGGCGCTCCTACTCTCCCACGCTCTTCTCTCAGACTGTCCGAGTCCTGAAGAAGATCAACAAGCCCGGAGAAATGGTTGTGGGTTTCGGTCTCCTTGCTGACAAAATAAAGGTTAGATCTGTTGTAGTATCAAATCACCTTATACTGTACCGCTATGCCCTCTCCATACCATAACCCTAAACGAATAACTACTGCCTGTTTTAGTCTCATGCAGACCGACAGCTGCAGGATGAGGAAACGTACGCGGACGCCCCAGACGAGTTCCTGGACCCCATTATGTCCACTCTGATGCTCGACCCTGTGCTGCTCCCCTCTTCCAATGTCACGGTCGATCGCTCGACCATAGCACGGCACTTACTCAGGTGAGTGATTCCCTTAGGAGTAGTATGTCTACGTGCTGCTGGTTTATTCCAGGGGCCGTGTGCATCAAGCATCTCAGAGTAGGCGTGCTGATCTAGGATCAGGTCCCCCCCCTGTCCATGTAGTCTTATTCATTGTGATCTAAAAGGCTAAACTGATCCTTGAGATGCTTGAAACATACGGCCCGAGATCAAGTTTATTTGTACGATATTGAGTATCAATTTTCATTATCCTACAGCGATCAGACAGACCCGTTCAACCGCAGCCCCCTCACCATGGACCAGATCCGGCCCAACGAGGAGCTGAAGCAACAGATCTTACAGTGGCTGGCCCAGCATAAGCAGGATCAGCAGCAGATGGGCCCTAGTGGCTAGCCCTGGGATCTTCTCAAACAAACTATGACTGTACCATACCTTCCCTCACCTCCTTACCGACAGTAGTATGCTCCACTTTGACTCATCCATGTGTGCTTGCCTTCAAGCTTAGGACTTCAAACCACGTGAGCGACTGGTATCTCCCTCTCATGCAGCGCACATGTCACTCAAAAACCCTCACCAGTCAATGGAAGATCCCAGGTCTCAAAAACTGTCAAGAGAGCAGGTAGTGGTACAATTGAAAACCGAGTTGCACTGCTACATTCATACGCCCTATGGAGGTTTTGGAATTCTGCCCCCTGCTTCAGAGAATATACTGTTTACTATCAGTGGTTGCAGTCTGGTCGGAACCACTGGTCTAACTGGACAATAGTCGTTTAGCAATTCCTAAATGATCATCAGCTCTGCCAAATGTTTTGTATATTAAAAGTAGGCAAAGTATACACTTGGACTTCAGAACAAGAAAATGGAATATGACTTATTAATTTGTCTCTGTAGTAACCGTAAGGTCTATATGCACCGTCCATCTATGAACCTAAACAAGATTATCTGATGTTATTTAGCATTTACCATTGAAATAATATGTGTTATGCAAGCATCTAATACCCATAGAATAAAATGTGGGCAAACCAATCTTCATTGAAAGAATCGGGGCCTAAAACCACCCGCCTTGCTTTAATTTCATTGAAGGAGACCAGACATTTTTCCAGTTATTATTTTGTGGCTTCGTTCCAATTATGATATTAAATGCGCCAATAATGGATATGTCTTATATCCTAAACAAGGAGTCAGGGTGTCACTTACTTTGGTTATTTACAAACTTGTGTGAGTTGCTCTTGTTTGGCGTTTGAGACTTTTAATTCAAAGTGAAGTGTGATTTGCTAAAGAAATTAGTAGAACATGTGGGAAAGAATACCCATTTGATAGCATGCGTTTGTATATGGCATATCTACCAACTTGATGATTACCGGGGTGAAATTATAATGCAATATTTTAACTTTCAAAATGTATTTTGAATGTACAGTATGACTAATAAATAAAAAGCTTTGATGTGTTACAGTATCAAGCTTGCAACAAATGTTTGCATTACTTCTTCCAGTACCAAAATAACATGCAATAACCAAGTATGGTTATTAATTGGTAGCTGTTTGTACGCAAACATATTCCCAATACTCACATACTAAAGTTACCATAACATAATGATAATTGAATGGGTATTAGGCACTGAACAAGAAAGTACTTCCCAATTAACATTATCCAATTACACTGAACAAAAATATAAACACAACATGTAAAGTGTTGGTCCCATGTTTCATGAGCTGAAATAAAAGATCCCAGAAATTGTCCATATGCACAAAAAGCGTATTTCTTTCAAATGTTGTGCAGAAATGTGTTTACATCCCTGCTAGTGAGCATTTCTCATTTGAATGTTAATTTCTCTACCATAAGCCGCCTCCAACGTTGTTTTAGAGAATTTGGCAGTACGTCCAACCGGTCTCACAACCGCAGACCATGTGTTACCACACCAGCCCAGGACCTCCCCAGACCACGTGTAACCACGCCAGCCCAGGACCTCCCCAGACCACGTGTAACCACGCCAGCCCAGGACCTCCACATCTGGCTTCTTCACCTGGGGAGTCGTCTGAGACCAGCCACCCGGACAGCTGATGAAACTGTGGGTTTGCACAACCGAATAATTACTGCACAAACTGTCAGAAACCGCCTCAGAGAAGCTCATCTGCGTGCTCGTCGTCCTCACCAGGGTCTTGACCTGACTGCAGTTCGGCGTCGTAACCGACTTCGATGGCCACTGGCACACTCTTCACGGATGAATCCCGGTTTCAACTGTACTGGGCAGATGGCAGACAGTGTGTATGGCGATGTGTGGGCGAGCGGTTTGCTTATGCCAATGTTGTGAACAGAGTGTCCCATGGTGGCGGTGGAGTTATGGTATGGGCAGGCATAAACTACGGACAATAAACACAATTGCATTTTATCAATGGCAATTTGAAGGCACATTGTTGTGCCATTCATCCGCCACCATCACCATGTTTCAGCATGATAATGCACAGCCCAATGTCGCAAGGATTTGTACACAGTTCCTGGAAGCTGAAAATGTCCCAGTTCTTCCATGGCCTGCATACTCACCAGACATGTCACTAGATACTGACTGGTTTTCTGATCCACGCTCCTACCTTTTTTTCAGGTATCTGTATTCCCAGTCATGTGAAATCCATAGATTAGGGCCTAATGAATTTGATTCAATTGACTTATTTCCTTATATGAACTGTAACTCAGTCAAATCTTTGAAATTGTTGCATGTTGCGTTTATATTTTTGTTCAGTGTAGCTAAGGACAGCCATTGAGTAATTTGGTTGTTCAAGTACACGCTTCTACACACACTTTTTTATTGTTCAACAGTATCCGTACAAAAATTGGAATATTAAAACAAACGTCGACCAATAACAAAAGTGTGTGTTGAAGCGTGTACTTGACCAACCAAATTACTCCTTTATCATGAGTCTTGTGTAATTTTACACAGATCAGTATTACCTTGGAATTAACCATTTTCTCAAGCCCCATGGGAAATGAACACTGAACAGTGTGGGTCACTTTCAGGTTTGGGCATGGCTCACATCAACACCATTATCCCAGAAACCCTAGACCCACTCCAATTTGCATACCGCCCCAACAGATCCACAGATGATGCAACTGGATCCTGGACTTCCTGACGGGCCGCCCCCAGGTGGTAAGGGTAGGTAACAACACATCTGCCACACTGATCCTCAACACGGGGGCCCCTCAGGGGTGCGTGCTCAGTCCCCTCCTGTACTCCCTGTTCACCCATGACTGCATGACCAGGCACGACTCCAACACCATCATTAAGTTTGCCGACGACACAACAGTGGTAGGCCTGATCACCAACAACGATGAGACAGTCTATAGGGAGGAGGTCAGAGACCTGGCCGTGTGGTGCCAGGATAACAACCTCTCCCTCAACGTGACCAAGACAAAGGAGATGATTGTGGACTACAGGAAAAAAAAGAGGACTGAGCACGCCCCCATTCTCATCGACGGGGCTGTAGTGGAACATGTTGAGAGCTTCATGTTCCTTGGTGTCCACATCACCAACGAACTATCATGGTCCAAACACACCAAGACAGTCGTGAAGAAGGCACGACAAAGCCTATTCCCCCTCAGGAGACTAAAAACAGCTTCTACCCCCAAGCCATAAGACTCCTGAACAGCTAATCATGGCTACCCGGACTATTTGCACTGCCCCCCCACCCCATCTTTTTACGCTGCTGCTACTCTGTTAATTATTTATGCATAGTCACTTTAACTCTACCCACATGTACATATTACTTCAACTACCTCAACTAGCCGGTGCCCCCGCACATTGACTCTGCACCGGTACCCCCCTGTATATATAGCCTCCCTACTGTTATTTTATTTTACTTTTGCTCTTTTTTTCTCAACACTTTTTTGTTGTTGTTTATTTTACTTTTTTATTTAAAATAAATGCACTGTTGGTTAAGGGCTGTAAGTAAGCATTTCACTGTAATATCTGCACCTGTTGTATTCGGCGCATGTGGCCAATACAATTTGATTTGATTTGATTTGATTTGATTTCAATTTTAAGTGGTTTAAGATCATATCAAACTTTACAAGGCAACAGTAAACATGTCATCCCCCACGAATGATGCAGCGCCCCCAATGGGCCAATCAGTGTAATTTTGGAAATGACGGATCTCCATGACAAGACCCTTCATTCACCCAAGTTTCGTCAAAATGGGGCCAGTGACGTCTGAGATATCGCGTGGGTTAGCTAGACTTATATCCCTGAGCATGTCAGCACTCTGAATCAAACAAATCAAGAGATATAAACATGTGCCCGTTATAGAGCAACCGTGAGGTCCATATGAATGTTGATTCTTGACAGTGTTAGCAACATGTGTACCAAATTTTCTTACAATACGAATATCCTTGACTGAATTTATATGCATTTATCTCCCAGTCCCAGACCATGCCCACGTGAATGTTTATTGGTCAATAGCAGCCATGTTTTAGGCACTAGTCTGCCAGGGGCACTTGGCCGGTTCCAAATCGAACGCAATCAACTTTCAGCCGGTGCAAAACACACAAACACGGGCGCCCGGGCGAGATGAATGGAACCCCCTCATTGATGATTTGTTGGATATGAGTGACAGAGTGAAAAGAAGGAAGCCAATGGTGACTTTGAAACAGTTACAGAGTTTAATGGCTGTGATAGGAGAAAACTGAGGATGGATCTATAACATTGTAGTCACTCCACAATACTAACCTATATAATTGACAGAGTGAAAAGAAGGAAGCCTGTACAGAATATTCCAAAACATGCATCCTGTTTGCAACAAGGCACTAAAGTAATACTGCAAAAAAATTGGCAAAGCAATCAACTTATAGTCCTGAATACGATGTGTTATGTTTGGGGCAAATCCAATACAACACATTACTGAGTACCACTCTCCATATTTTCAAGTATAGTGGTGGCTGCAACATGTTATGGGTATGCTTGTAATCGTTAAGGACTGGGGAGTTTTTCAGCATAAAAAATAAATGAAATGGAGCTAAGCACAGGCAAAATCCTAGAGGAAAACCTGGTTCAGTCAGCTTTCCACCAGACACTGGGAGATTAATTCACCTTTCAGCAGGACAATAACCTAAAACACAAGGCCAACTCTGCACTGGAGTTGCTTACCAAGAAGACAGTGAATTTTCCTGAAAGGCCGAGTTAGTTTTGACTTAAATCTATTTGAAAATCTATGTCAAGAACTGAAAATTGTTGTCTAGCAATGATCAACAACCTTCCCTACTCAGTTGCTTGAAGAATTTTGAAAAGAATAATCGGCAAATGTTGCAAAATCCAGGTGTGGAAAGCACTTAGAGACTTAGAGACTTACCCAGAAAGACTCACAGCTGTAACCGATGCCAAAGGTGCTTCTACAAAGTATTGACTC